GTTGGAACAGCATTAGTGTCTATAGTAGAATCAGTTTCACCTAAATAGACATCTTCCTCATTATCGCTTAAAGCTGCATGAGGTTACGGAGTCAATAATTTGCTCATCGGTCAACATTTCTCTTGTAAGAATGCCATTATCAATGCTCACATATTCGAAGAACTTGAAATCACTAAATTTGGTTTTAACTTGTTCTTCGACAAAATTGTGCATATCTTTATCTGAGTTTGAGCGTGGAAGTTCGTTATAAACGGAAAGTGAATATTCAACTAACCCAAAAAGTGATCGTTATATCCGGAAGTTCGTTATAAACGGGATCGTTATAACCAGTAAAAAAATACATTGGATTTTATGGATGACGTTTCAATTAAAGGAGAAAAGTTCGTTTTAACCGAAAGTTCACTATAACCGGGTTCATTATAAGCGGACTTTACTGTATATGTAATTATATTGTAACATTGTAGATATTTATAGATAGTTGCAGCCTTTCCTTTTTTTTAAATAAATGAATGAATACCTGTGGTGTACGCTGATGCAGCATAAATGAAAGTATCCCGTGAGGCTTGACTATCGCATATGCCCCCATGTTTTTCCAGTTTGTTAATAATTTCATCACGATCTGGATAGTGTTTTGTTGACTAAAATGATCAGAAATTTGAGAAATTGCATCCAGTTTCAGACGAATTGAAATTGCTTACGTTGAAGGCTAGTTTCTCTAAAAAGTGGGAGATTCCACTTGGATAAGCTACTTCATATCTGGAGCCAGAGTCAATGACAACACCCACAGTACAAAACTCGCCAAATCTGTTCTCTGAAGCAACTCGTAATCCATTAGGCATAATAGTTACCTACGGGTAAAACAACTGGTTAGTTTTCCACTAGTCTTCTGTAAAGATTTATCAGAAAAGCCAAAATAAAGTTCCAGCCTAATACTTTAGTATGTTGATTTTCTTCTCTGAAATTCGCATAGATTGCTTTTGGAAGACCCCGAACAGGTTCTGACATCGGTGGCATATCAGTTACTTTCTTCTTGGGCCTTTCGGTTAAATTTGACCATTCCGTTGAGGTGCAACGTCTTAGTAAATGATTGGGTCCTTTCCAAATTCTAAGAAAATTGATACAAATGGGTAAAGAATAGTTTGCTGTAAATAGCCGAAAACTGTTTGCCATTAATATTAACAACAGCTACACATTTTATTGAAAAATTAAATTACGCAAATGGTTGAGGTTAGATGAGGACTTACGTATTTTTGGACTGAAATATACTGCTGGTGAGGTTCTTAGATGCCTGCAAAGCCATGATAGCACCTATTTTAAATCGTTTTTGACGAAATGCGTTACCAATCAGGGAATTTTGACTTGAAGTTTCTAAAGTTTCTTAAAATGATCGATTTGTTTATGAAATCTGGTTAAAGGAGATGGAAGCACCTTCAAAAGTGACAATTGATTGTCAAAGTAATAGTCTGTAGTCATATGTCCAAGAATATTAATTAGTTCTTGGATATAATTATAAATAATTAATTTTAGTTCGATTCTATATTAAATTCGACATCAAAGTATATTTAAAATTCAATTCAATTCAAACAAGCAAACTTTTGAAATTCGCTTTTCCAAAAAACACTTATTTATGCACGAAAATGAGATTGTCCGATGCTATTTGCTGCTCAATCGTGTTTTAGGTATCAACAATTCATAACCGCATGCACAATTGTCGCTAGGATGCAAAATAATTGTGTTTTTCGCGAAAGTTTGAGCATCTTTTCTAACGTCGTCAAGTGATTGAGGTTTAAGCAAGACAGTAAAGTAGATTAGTAGCCGGGGCAGGGTGGCCATTCGTACGGTAATTACCGTACGCCAATTGTACGGTATTTTGGTATTTTTGTACGGTAAATATCATGGGACCTTGCTTTTAACCAGTGCGAAAGCTCTTTTCATCATAGTTGTCTTCATCTATGCTTTTCATGTCTGAGACTATGGGGGACCTTTTGTTTTTGGGGTCACCAGCCATGTCCTCAGCCCAGATTGAAGATCTTTTCTTGAAAAATTTATGTAAAACGTAAAAGTTAATAACCCGAAACAGCGTAAATAATCTAAACCGACACAAATTGAATTAATCTACATCCAATGAAACAATTTTCATTAACCTAAAACGTTTTGGGCGGTTTGGCAATGCTGCTCAAATTTGAGCCTGAAAATTTCTATTTTAAAGGCAAGTAAATTATCTATATCGGTTATTTGTATTAATCTTGTTATTTTTATTTATCTTTAAAGGATTGCATATCTTTTCATTTTGATTTTACTTATTTGATTATTTGATTGAACTTTAATTAAGAACTTGACAATCCTGTAGGCAGTCAAGGTTAATAACTTCAGGTCGATGCAGTCCATGTCAAAACTGACAATTTTATTGTTATTGAAATTATTTTAAATTGTATAAAACTTTATTAATGGTAGATCAATTAATTGCACTATCATCTCAGTAGATAAATGTAACAGAATTGTACAAAAATGTCGAAACGACCCTTTGACACAAACCAAAATAAAATGTCGAGGAACGATAGATTTGTGCAAATGTCCCAGCAGGAAATGTTAATAGAGCAGAAAAAACGTGAAATACAGGCCAAATTAGAGGCAAAGCGTCGACAGGTTAATCAAGACGTTAAAGACAAAACTATCAAACCGACAGAAGTTCCGGTGTAAGTGGAATAACATTTATTTTCAACCCAATGGGTTCATAAAGTGGACATGGTCCACGTCCAGTTCTTACTTCTACTTAAGGATGGTCAATTGCTGTAAATAACCATGCTGCTGATACATTGAATGCAAATATTCCAAACCTTGTTGTTGTGCCTTCAGAGCAGTGTACCTGAATACAAATCCATAACTAGAAAGTTGTGTCACTTGCCTCTAGTTTAGTAGATTTATCAACGCTGAGCAGCGCCTGTTACTCCATACACTCTAAACAATTACAAGGGGGCAAACGTATTTTAACCCACAAAAGCAAATACCTACCATGAATTGCATTTAACAAGGGGACAACCTCATTAAACCCTGCTTATTGGTTCGATTTTAATCAACTCTTTCTAGTTTATAGCTGGAGAAAAACGTCCCGTTAGGTAAAACTAAAAATAAATCACATTTTTGTTACAAAAACTGTGACCTACGTGCTTGGTAATTTTTAGAGAACAAAAATTTAAAAACCGTATCGGCAAACAGCTAAAAATCTTAAATTTTGACTTATTCTAGTTCTCTAAAATGCGTAGAAATTTGGCTGAGACATGCTATGGATTAAATTCAGTGTCAGTTTCATTTAATAGTTATTATATAAAATATATAATTAAACATTTTAAACGCATTGACATGAAACCAGTACAGACTGATGAAATAGAAGCAAATGTCGAATTCACTAGAAACCAGTTTTAGCGGTTTATTAAATTTCTGATATTTATGTATAGACATCGTCTTAAAAGTTGTAAAAATGTTCATACGGCTCTTAGTTAAACAAATCATTAACGCCGATGAGGCAGGGATTTCCTTTTAATTTTCCAGTAAGTCAAGTTTTTCCCTTTTAGAACAATTTCTACAAAAATGTAAAAAAAACATGTAAAATTGTACAAAAAACAAAAATATTTTTTCTGGTTGTGGAAACTTAACTTACTGGAAAAGTTAGAAATTCATAAAGTAAAATGAAATCCAGGAGATGCTTGCATTCATGATTTGTTTAACTATGAGCCCTACCTAATATCTATCAGTAACGAAGTAAGTCGTCGATTAAAGATCGTGAACGCTTAAAAATTTGTAGTGTTTTTGAAAAAAGTTGTTGCATTCTAGCGATAAAATTAGTTCATATATGATTTGTGGCATTTTGAGCGGCTTGAGGTATTGCGAAAAATCCTAAACAGGTAGAGTTCGTTGCGTTCCACGTTAATTGCAATAAACATTTAAAAAATGCTTGTATATTTAGACCAGAAAAACTACGAAAAGGTATGATAAGTGCATTGAAATAAACAACATGTTGGTCCAAGCGCACAACATCTGATTGTCTTCGTAAGTTTTTCATTCCTGGCAAATACGCCATTTCGTCTTGCATAATAATGTAAGACGAAAAAAAAATCAAGAATGTTATAATGATATTGGATTCAGACAACGCTTGATCTAAAAGTAAATTCAGATTTTTTGTATCAAAATGGTTAATATATTCTTAAATTTATGTCCCAAACAAATGCAGGTTGCATTTTGGAAGAAAAATAAAAATGCGATGCTACGCGATGTTCTTATGTAGACATTCGTTGTTGATGTTCTCAACAATTCAAAATTATATTTTCTAAATATCTAAAGGTTTAATGAAGCTATTTTATATGACTACTAGTCTATTATGTATACCTGGTGTCGCAATAAGGATGGTAAGCGGCTGTATCTGGGAAAGTATTTGTTGTAGAGCGTTCGGAAAAGAAAAATACTTTCCAAGGTACATCGGCTTATCATCTTTATTGCGACACCCGGTATATGACTAGTAGTATTTTGTGATGGAAAATTGGTAAATTTGGATGCTTTTTTCAGAGTTGAACCCAAGGAATGCCCAAAAAGTTTGGTAAATCAGTTTTCCAATGATGGATCATTTCTAAACCAATTCAAGCAATTGAACGACAAGAAAAAGGATTCAAGGTTTAAAACCTTTAATAAATATAGAGATAAAGAAAGGGAGCGGGAAAAGGTGAAAGAGAAAGAAAAAGAGCACACTTTTGAAGTGGCAACCCAAAATAATTCAGAACCCAATAAGTAAGATAACTTCAGTTATTATACAGACTTTCGTTTCTTTTATTTGTACCGTTTTCTTTTCAGCGATAGAACTGATGTTCCGCGACAAACCCGTTTCTCTACCGAACCAATAATGAGTATTGATCCCCAAAAAATAGCTGTAAATGCTTCTTTTACCACCAACCCTCCACCTATGACAAATAATTTCCATCAGGCGCCGCCGATGCTACCTAATCAACAAGAAATTTCTTTATTAGGACAACTTCCTTCTACTACTCAAGTTCCTCCACAAATCCCCGATTTCTCTGTTCCTCCACAGTTAGCTTTCCCCAATGCTGGAAATGCGAATTTTACAACTCAAACGCTGTTAAGCTCTGTTGGAGTTCACTTAAACACCAGTGTAGCTCCACCTACTACACAAATAATATCTTCTACTGTGACGCAACAGTTAAATCAACCAACATCAATGCCGCCTCTTATTCAACAAACAGTGGGCTTAGTTGGGCAGCCTGTGCAAGATTTGTTAGCAGCAGGACACATTGGACCTGCAAATAGTAAGTAGTCAGAAGGATTTAATCAAGGAAAATTTTCCGAAATGGCAATTAATATTTTTCAAATTGTTTGTTACTTTTGTATAAATTTTTGACATCAAAGTAATACTTTCAGTAACAAACGATTTAATTATAACCGAAAACTTCGCTCCGCACTGTGCTACCGACTGCGCCAATTAAGTGTTCTGACAAAACCTTTTACAGCCATAATAAATTTGCCAAAACTAGAGTGAACGAAATTAAGATTCTTCAAAAATCGATTTTTTTTTAGTTTCTACATCGGAGCAAACACAAACGGTCATGACTCAAACCGCTCATTTGTTCGGTACTACCACCACGACAGAACAGCTTATATCAGGTCCGCCTCCAGTGCTGCTGAATGTTCCGCCGCCTCAAATTGTGCCTCAAACTCAACTGGTGATTACTCCACAGGTATTAATTAGAAACTAATAATTTAATTGTGGACTAATCGAACGGATGTGTAGAATCAGAATGTGCTGGTGTCCGCGCCCTCCAGCATTCTGACTACAGTCACAATACCTCCGCCAGTGATGGCTCCTCAAAATTTAAATATCAGCGCCCAGAATATTTTGAATGTACGACCTCCAGGGCTGCCAGCAATTGAGTTAACTTCAATTCCACCTCCCAATCCCATTCAGGTACAGTACCTAGGCCAATAAAAACCAGCAAATTGATAATAAAAAGTTTCAGCTGCAAAATATACCTCAACCGGAGCCATTAAATACTTTAAATATACCTCCACCTGCACCCTTGCAAGTTTCCAGTATCCCGACGCCATCATCTCTGCAGTTAAATGAAATCCCCAATCCGAAACCAATCGACTTAATGGCGATACCGACGCCAAATGAACATGAAGACAACTTCACTGATAGCAGCTTTTTAAAGAATATTCCACCTCCAAACAAGAACTTACCGCCACCGAATGTCTCCGATTTAAGCTTCTTGGCAAACATTCAGCAGGTTGGTTCAACATTTAACAGGTGGCATTTTATACCCTTTCGGGTCATTTTCTTGGTTGTTTTAGGTTTCTGGACCTCCATCGCTTACTTCCAGTCTTCCTCCGAATTCACAGACACCCGTTAATCGAATTCCATCGTTAATGTCCCAGCGTGTTCTGCCTCCGCCTGGAATGGGAGTAAACATTCCGCCACCAATGTTGCATACGCGCGATATCACCCAACCTCCGCCAAATTTCAATTTGCAAATTCCGCCCCCAATTCCGAATATCAACGTTCCACCTCCAATGATTGGCCCACCGGCAGGAATGCCCCATAGGAATGCTTTCAAGGAGGAAATATTAGGTAAAAAGAATTAAATCCTTTCCTAGCTTTTTTTTTAATCATATCTGGCATTGCCTAATATGATTTGTAGAATGATCGCAGTTTAGTATGTATATTTTTTTATCCCTGTGTGTATTTTGTGCATATTTCTACAGGGGTGACTTACCGTTTAAAGTACTACTAGTGACAATCACGTGAACGCTTAGGCATTTTTTCATTTTAAAATTCAAAATTTCCTTGCTAATGTGATTTGCCTGCCATTAAAAAGACTTTTGAAAGGAAATTGGTTCAATATTAGGCTCGAAAAATATGAGCAGCCGATATTGGGCCAGTTTTGCCTGAAATGAGTCAATTTGACTCAAACACAAAAAAAACAGAATGTTGTATATTGGGAAGAAACTTAATATAAGATAATATTTTAAAGTACTTTACAAGTACGTCATTGTTTTCTGCGCCTGAGGCTTTTGGATGCCAGTAATTGGATATTTCCAGCCCTTTCTCAGATTCTTCTACAGTTTGCCGTTCAAGGGTTCCAAAAATTCGATTCAAGAAATGAGACAAACGCCTTTGAAATTTTTAATAATTTGATGCTCTAATAACATTCTTAACATGACAGGTATATTAGAATATTTTTTTGCAAAACAAGACACAAATTTGAATTTTTTTATTAAGTGTTATTTAAAGTGTGATTTTTTTGCAAAAACGAGGGTTAGGCCACTTTGGTTTCTTCTTGAAAGAGGAAATATGTGGTTTAGCACACTGGTATTAAGTATAAAATTCTTGGTTACAGAAACTTTAGACATGGATAAAAGAAAAATATCAATAAACGAATGACTTATTAATAATTTATCTAAAATAAAATATACATATAATTACTTAATTATAGTTCATATTGAAAAAGTTTCATAGACTATTATACTTTTTATTCGGGCTACATCGCTAGAAACGATAATAAAATCTTCAGATACATTTTCGGTGGTCTTCAGTTTTGATTAAAAATTATGATAAATGGGGTGATTAATTCCATTAGGTAATCGTTTTTCGCAGCAATTTTGCGGCGTTTAGGGTGTAACAAATCACTCAGGTTTGCAGGGCAAACATTTACATTTACTTCATTGAATGGAACTAATTCGTTCTTTGAGTATTTATAAGCAAATGCCAAGGCTTATTTTTTTCTAACGGAATCCATTTCAATTTCATCTATTCAACTTTAAATTTATTGAACGCAATTTTCTATTAGTAGTATTAAAAGATCTCATCTCATAGAAGCGATATTCTATAATCTGAAACGGGCCAAAAAATGTAAAACTTCGGATCAAAGCTCTGGTCCGCTTTAAATGCTCTTGATTAATCTGGGCGAAACTTGATCCCCAATACTGTCGAAGTAAGTCCCAGGAATCAGCAAAAGTAAAATCATAAGAGTCAAATTGATTCACTCCGGTAAATAGTGTTAATTATTTACCTGCGACTAAATACTATACTTTGGCTTAGTGAAAAATGTTTCAAAATTGTTTAATAGAAAACATGTGGCCCTTAGAAAGAATATTGAAAAGGATCATTGATCTAAATGGATTGTCAATTGTATTAAGTCATCCCTGTCTTAGTTGGGACCGCTAGTGACGTGTTCCTGAGTTTCTCCTTAGGTGGTGCAGAATTTGAAGCAATGGCAAACCTGGCCCGAATGGTAGCCGAATGTGGGCCTTCCGTGGAAGACGTCGTTAGACAGAAAAAAAACCGAGACCCCGAATTGTGGTATGGCAATCCATATACTCAATTGAATTGTTCGGTCTCGCTCTTTGGAGAGGGACGATTGAACCGAGCAGTCCGTCTTCTAATGAGAAGGATGGACTGCCCTCTTCTCAATTGTAGCATAAGTATTTATAATAGTATACATTTACTTGATGTATTAGGTGTAGAACCAAACGTGACATCTCTCGACTTTTTCATGGTTTAGTTATGGATGGGCTGAACAAGCTTGCTTATTAAGGATTAACTGCATAAGACCAAAAAGTCACCTGCATTTCTTTCCATGCTGTTAATCATGTGATTTGAAACTTAGTTCACACCATTTCCAAAATTCCAAACCAGCCACCACCAAAGATACAAATATACCCAAATTGACGATCATTGCACATTTAAAGAGAAATCAGTACTTCTTTATTGATCCATCTTAAACAGATCCTTATAATACGGCAGGCATCTTTTAACATTTCTTCAGGTTTCTATTTCACAAAGAATCGCCCGCCTATCGTCAGTACGCCGGTTTAGTAGAGCAATACAAGAGGGAACGCGAAGACAAAGAACGGACCCTAGTGAAACCGGATCCAAGCGAAATTTACGAACCGGAAATGGCGTTAGAAGACGACGACTTCGAAGATTCAAAAGATAATTTCGACTTCAAACAAGAGATCAAACAGGTATTTAGATTTCAGATAACTCAATATAAAACGCTTACGGGGTGGGCCCGTTTAAAGAACAGAAACTTCAGGAAACGATAGAGTATCGAAACACAAAATAAGTTTGAGTGAAAGGTAAATTCGAGAAACGCTTCCTTTAGGAAATACAGGGGCTTTAAGTTTGGCTTTAAAAAATCCACTTTTTTCAATACAAGGACGAAAAGTGTCGTTTTTCGAACGACGGCGTTTAAATAAAAACTATTTTTTATTGAATGAATCTAAAACTGCCATTTTTCGATCAAAAGCACTTATCTTTACTGATCATTTGTTTTCCTTTTTAATAGTATTAATATACTTTTTATTAGCAAATTGCGCGCAACAGTAAATGTGAGAAATTGAACGTTATATTATTTATTTTTTAGTATATAATAATCATATGCGCCACTTATTTATGCGTGCGTTTAAACGTTTTTATCAAAAAATAAACCGATCAGCATTGTTAATAAACGATCAGTATTCTGTTATTGAATATTCCCCGATACTGGACTGAACGAATTTCATAATCGCCTACGATGGTTTCAGGAAGAGAATATGAGTGTGTCTGAAAGAAATAGACGCGAAAGAAAACGAAAAAGCCGATGGGGCGAAAAGGATAATGATGCTAAACCGCCCATTTCTCTGCCAGTTTTATTGCCCCAAATGAATCCCTCCATTATACCTCCAGGTAATTCAAAAATGTTTAAATATTATTGAAGAACCGTTTTCATTTATTTGACATCTAACTGGAACTAATTCAGTTCCGGGAGGATCAGGAATGCTCAGCAAAGTGACCCGAACTGATCCTGGGTTGTTGCAATACACTATGCAGACATATGGATCAAACAATCTGTCTGATGAAGATTGGAAAAAAGCTGAGGATAATTACAAAATTCATTTATTGTATCAGGATATGGTCAAAAAAAGAGAAGAGTTGGAAAAGTACGTTAATAATTTTCGCTCAAATAGACAAAGTAATTTTTAACACTCACTTTCATTATCTTCAGACTGCAGAGGCAAGGGAAAAACAAATACGAATATGACTCAGACGAAGAAACAGAAGGTGGAACATGGGAACATAAGCTGAGAGAAAAGGTAATTATATAAAAAAAGTTTTGAATCAAAGCGAATATATTTTGGTACAGGAAATGGTAGCCACTGAAAAATGGGCAGTAGAACTGAATCGTCAGGCTGAAGGCAAACATCACATAGGCGATTTTTTGCCCCCCGAAGAACTCAAGCGGTTCATGGAAAAATCCAGCGCAGTTAAGGAGGGCCGTCAACTAAACTTCTCTGATTACAAAGAATTCAAAATAAAAGAAGATAATATTGGATTCAAAATGCTGCAAAAACTCGGGTGGACCGAAGGACAGGGGTTAGGACAGAATAATGCCGGCATTGTGGATCCTGTTAACAAGTAAGAAATACTCCCACTTTAGCTTAAAGCGTAAATACATTGTTTCTTAGTGAGATAATATCATTCACGTGTTTTAATATTTTTTAGGGGTGCTCCGAGGGATAATACTCAAGGTTTGGGTCTAAATGTTGGAGAAGCAACTGAAGACGAAGATGAATACGATTCATACCGGAAACGAATGATGTTGGCTTACAGATTTCGGCCTAATCCCTTGGTAAGTGATGGCAATTACATTAATTAAATAAATATTTGTTTAATTACTGAGGTTGTATGTATTTTTTTAGAATAATCCACGAAGGCCTTATTATTAATTGATATCACGTATTATTATGTGACGTAAACTTGATTAACATGCAATGTATTGTGAATAAAATACTACATTATAAATTACTGTATTAAATCGTGAAATAAAGTAGTCAATGTTATTTGTTCTCAGTATTGTAATCTGTAAAAATTGCGCCATTCGTACAATACGAAAACTACTGAAGTTAAAATGAACTTAACAACGAAATAAGACTATTATCACACGTGCCAGATATTAGTTCAGTTTGCCCTCGGAAAATATTCCGAATTAGCCAAGAATAAACTTAAATCTCCATATATAATAAACTTAAATTTCCATAATATAAACCGCTAGCCTACACCTAAAATAAACTTATTTAATGATCATTTTATTGCCACAAGCCGGCATAGTTTCCCGTCAGGGTGGCAGGAAGGGGACCGCCAGCGGTAAAAAGGCGCATTCCGGTTGCATCGTAACAATGAGTGTAGATGGTTGGCACGTATTTTACGTGCTGGACAATATCCATATATTCTTCATCCGGAAACTGAAAAAGGTATTTTTTTGAAAGAACTTAAGTTGCGGCATCTGAAATTGTTTGGGGTAGGTTTTTACGCCACACTGAAAGATGACTCAACATTAGAACCTTGTAAACTCTGGCAATAAATTTAAATGATCATTTGCCATGATAGGCAAAATTGCCAAAACAAACTCCAAAATTATGTCTGCCAACGGCCACTAATTTTCAGGCGCCTCAAAGAGGGCGACGTCCTACTGCGATTTTCTCTAAATATGCTCGATTGAAAAGGTCCCTACCACGTGTGCGAACATTAAAAAATCGCCTTCACTTTCGATTTTAATGGTTTTACTTTCTGGGCTTAACTTGATAACACGGAAACTGCGTTTTTTTATTAATACTCAAAGAAAATGAAAATTTGAGATAAATAACACCAGACCTTCCAGACAAGTTTAATACTCACCACATATCCTTTACTGACTTTCAATATAACAGTTCTGGATGAATTGATGCTGCTTTCTAAATATTTTCCGGCTATCAAATCGTAAAACATCACCAGCCCTAAACCAGTACCCACTGTTAGAATGTCCCCTTGAAATGAGGCTGAGCGAATTCCGCATCCAGAATAGCGAGAAGAAATTTTCTTGACTGCCTGAAATATATTTCTAGGTAACAAATTAAGTTTATCAACGGTTTACCGTTAAATTTACCTGCAGAGTTCTAGTATCTAACAGTAGTGTGTACGACTTACACCCGATTGCGTAAACACTTCTTGAACATTGCACTGCCATGCACACATTCTCTTGTGAACTGGGCAATTTGCGAGACATTTCCTGTTTAAAAGTTTGAGCGTCGAACACATGAATAAATCCATTTGAACTAAGTGCTGCAAATTCCTGATTTGCTTGGTTGAATGAAATTGCTCTTATCTGAAAAATTAAAACAAGTTTAAATTAAGTATCAACCACTGGTTCTTTTATGCCAAGCGATTTGCGGGAAAATGTGTACATTTTAAATTCTAACGTACGGAATTACGGCTCGCATTTGTTCCACTTGCATGAAAAGGTGTCTGAAATTGAGAATTCCAATTAGCTTTGTATAGAATAAACCCCATGTCCCATGCATCCGTTTGTACGACGATACGATGATACCAAAGCCTTTCTATTGGTTGGGTGGTCTGCCAATTCGTCGGTCGTCGTACCAAGTTATAAAATGTTTAACTTTATACGATGGTCGTATGGTTTATAATCTCACATTCATTTTTTACATATTAGATTTCATGTTGAATTTATTGTAAGTTTTAATAATGTCATCAAAACTCAACTTTCACGACAAAATACAATTAACAAAGTGCTTCTGTTTTCATTATTATGGAATAGGCAAAACAGGGAAAGGTAAAATACACGAAGATTTTCGGTTCGGTATATTTCTTAAAAATTCTTTAGAACGTAAATTCATATTTTGGTTTAATTACACGTACGACCTGACATTTTCATTTAAAAAAACGGGGTTTTATTGCTGCTTATTTTTCAGTCGCAGAACTGAATTTTCGTTTTCTTACTTCGGTATGGTAACCATAAAATTGTGAATCCGGCAAGCATGGTTATCGATCACAATCCAAGGCTAATACGATACGATAGCCATACCATATATATGTGATATACCATACATATATATGTATACACATGGACAGCTAGAAATCGGGATCGTACGACCGTCTAAAATCTCTGACCAATAGAAACACTTCCGTACCATCGTATAAACGGATGCATGGGCAAGAGTTAAACATGAATTACGTCACAGTCAACTACGACTTTTAAAAACGCTCTAATCCCGATAATAAATGTTCAGCAGAAAAACACTATTAGATAATCTGATAATTGACAATTTTTCATTTGCTACAATCATCATTATTAACACGGCTTTCGAGATGAAGATAAAAGTCCAAATAAACCAATTGTATCCAGTCCGGAACGTGTGGATGAAGGGAATTAAAACGATTTTCTTTTATTATTTCGCAGTGTTTCGAAAAATGGAATGCACCAGTCAAGCTGCAAGCTCATTTCACTAAATCTTGAGAGCTATTTAAGTGTAAAAGTATCTTACTTCATATACCTTTTGTGCGTTTCGACAATCTTTTAACACCACTGGCAAAATGGTTTTATGAGTGGGTGTTTCACTTTTTGCTTCTAAAACATCTTCGGTAATCCTCCATAAAGCTAGTTTAGTGTCTCTCGACCCAGAAACTAAAAATTCATCGTCAAGCCAACATGCATCAAAAACCTAAAAAACAAATAATATACAAAACTAGTTGCAAGCTGCCCAAATAATATTTTAAGTCCAGTACAAAAAAAATTCAATTATAAAATAAATAACTATAATTAATTAATTAATAATTTGAATTTAGTGTTTATTTGAAAATAAAGTCTTATAATAAATCCATGTTACAACTGAAGCCCACAGTGAAGTAAAGAAGTTGCCAGAATCAAATGTAGAACTTATCAAATAATCAAGTAAGTATATTTGATACAAAATACAAGCCAATTTAGCCAAATTTGGCTAAAATGTTTACATTTGAAAGAAATGTGTATAAAAAGCAATAATCGTATATTAAAAATGTGAGATCGCTGTGTGCAATATTACTAAACTCTCACTCTGCATGGGACTAAGTCTTGTTTCACAAAAAATACTATTGGCAATATTTATCGTGCATATGTTATATGAAAAGAACGCCCAGAGGTAGGAAACTTCAAGGTACTTACATTGTACTGTAAATCACACGCAAAGCATAAGGTTACGTGGAATTCCTTTTAGTAAACGATTTCGACTAAAGCTTAAGGATGTCATATAACTTACCCAGTCTTTATGGCCATTTTCCCCCACACAAACTGGATCTAAAGTGGGCAATCTGTAAACCGCAATATCACACGTATTTTTTGCGCCGGTTGCTAACAATGTCTTGGATGGATTCAGCTGTACTGAGTGAATACCACTTGATTGCTCGTTACTGTTGGGAAGTTCACTTCTACTAATAAGAGAAGGGATTTGGTCTAGTTTGCGCGTTTGCACATCATACACCATTAGCTAAAAGAACAATTTGTGGCAGCATAAATTCAAAACGAAGCTGATTGCTTCCGTTCAAAATAGGAAAGTTCCAAGAGTGTACAATATAGCAAAGCTAATTTCATAACTCATATATGTATGTAATAAATATTGATACAATTATTACCTTATTGCATTTAGTTCCGAACACAACTTGTCTATCACTTAACCACTGAGAACAGAACACTTTATTCACGTGTCCTAAATTAATCGGATTTTCTTTGAACAGTTCATGTGTTAAAATATGCCTATTTCCATACTCTGGTGATACAACTATGTGTCTTGCGGTTTGATATTCTCTATGTCTCACAAAATCGACAAAATTGTACGATGCTGAATTGCCTTGTTTCAATAACTCTGCCTCATCATCCGAATCGCTGAAATAAACATAAATTTTAGGATAAATCGATTTTTTTTGAGTCTGGGAAACCAGCGGCATTCTCTTGCAAATAAGGATAATTCTGATATAAGGTGTATTGGTTCTACTGTTAATAGTTTACCAGATATAGACGGGATTCCAAATATTGTTCTCTGTTCTATGAAGTAATCTTCCCTGTAATATTAATTCTATATCGGCGAGCTCAACAAAAGAACGCGCTATCAATATAATTAATCTTCTTTCATACAATAAGATCAAAAAAGATTGGCGCAAAACGCGAGCGCCGACTACCGGATTCTGGTTTTAAGAATTAGGGTGTTAGGAGCAGAATGAACACGTTTAGACCCGTTAAAACACGTTGTTTTTAATCGCGAATTGAAAGTCTAAAAAGGTTTTTTCGAAAAAAAATGTGTCTAGTTAGAAAAGCAGGTTTTCAATTAGTAGAGAAGCATTTTTCGTCCAAAAGTCTATCGAAAGCTAGAAACTTTATTTGGATCCGGTGAAAAATTCACTATAGATAGAGAAGTTTTTCTATCAAGCTCCAAAGATCACAAATGAACATTTAGCTATTGTAAGCTCTTTGACTGAAATGGCCAAAGCTGAAGAAAAGTATGACGCTGAAAAAATGAAACAGACAAAAATTAGAAGCAGAACGCAATCTTAAAAAGTTAACGGATGATATCAATATTTGTGTAAAATCAGTAGGACAATCTGAATCGTCCACATGGTTCAAAGAGAGGCTTCTGACAAACATGCAGCTGAAAAGCTTATCAAATCAAAACACGACAAAAAAAATTGTGGCACATGAGCAGCAAGATTCTTGTAATAAAATTTTGCTTTCTTGGTCAAAACTGCCCGAATTTCTTCACACATGTTGTTACGACTGAATCGAATTTTCAATTCCCTATCCAACGATACCAATGCCATGACCAACCATGTGTTTATGGTTGTCATGGGGGCCTTGCCTTGCCTTGTGCTGGGTTTATGTTATAATTTTTCTAATTTCATAGACAACAAAAGACTGAATTTCTACTACATAACCCCGCCCCCCTGACTTGAAAGCTACAAGTAATAAATGAACCGAATAAACATACAGAAGCTTACCTTTCGTCGTAAATTATAAAATCTTCAGGCTTTTCTGTTTTTCGGTTTTGTTCCAATAATTTCAGTGCTCTAATCTTGTTTATCCTTTCTTGGATTCGGTATAATTCAAAACGTGGTGGCCTTAGACCGTAAACTGGAGTAACTACTATTCGGGACATTTTCTGCGTTTGCATTCGGCTCTATTAAGGAGACTTGAGCAAATTGGATTGTTTCACAGCAGCGCCGAGCATGGGAATTTCAAATCGATGAGGGCTGTAAGTTACAGCAATGTTTAAAATAATTTATGACCTATTTTAGTCCGAATGGCAAATTACCCATTACTTTCACCTCAAATGCAAATTCATGACTGAAACAAAAGCCGTCTGTAGATTTACTGTTAGATGCTGAAACTGAAATACACATGTACCTTATTATGACGACTATCTGTAAATAAACACTAACAAATCAGATTTTGTCAAATAGGTTTTTGATAAATGATAACAATAAAATATAAACCACATGCACCAGTGCCAGAATGAGACTGTCAACTATTGTCATTTGTCAATATCAGTCAATATCAACCAAGATACAGAATCAGGGCGACCAGACTGAGAAATTGCAACGTCGCCAATTGTAGACTTAAAAATCGACGGTTTTGGTGCCAAGTAAATTCAAACGGGGTAAACCAATAAAAACAAAACGGAACGGTTTAAATTAAGCAAGAACTTTAGTTTTTCTAATAAGTTGAATTGAAATTATACATGTTTACTTGTGTATCTAAAATTTATTAATGAAAAATTGTCGCCAACATAAGCAAAAAATCCACAAAAAGATAACCAGTGAAGGCCAATCTAATTTATGAACATGTTATGAGATGGCACCTGAGATGGAGCTATCTTCATCACAAAATATCCCCCCTGTGGGGGTATGTTCTGTGATCTTCATTTCAGAGACAAAATTCCCGCGGTTTTTCGTCAACATAACCAACATATGGCAACTTGAAGCTTGTCATTTTTGAATTCATTAAAGTTTCAAAAAAATTATATTATTAAGTGAAAACTATATAAATCAAGAATAATTTGAAGTGTGTTTGGTTTTATACAAGGTATTTATGGTATAACTTTCTAAGTGCAGCCACTTCGCATATCAAAGCTAAGAACTAATGTAATAATCCTGTAGCTCTATATAAACAAGCCACTACAAACTTACAAAACTTGTAATTTGGTGCTTTTGACTCAAATATAGGGTATTTAGGACAACCAAATTTGGCAGTGAGTTTATGGAGACTTAATAATGACCAATATTTTAATATAAAGATCAAATAACTTATCAAAACAACAGGAATTATAACATCTGCTATCACCTATTGGGATCCTACGATACACTTATTAGTTGGTTCATACGGAACTCAAATACGGATTTAAAGATTCCGTTTTAGATTTAAGAAAGCTTGTGCAGTTGGATGTGTTCACACATTGAAATTCGCGACTTTTTCACGTTATTTCCCATTTCCAAATACGCGAATGAAAATACTGTTATAATTATTAATGTGTCAGGTGCGCGTAAACTTGTTGTAAACAAAAAAATGTATATAGGTAGTAGTATATAAGTTCAGTTTTACCTTCACCGCATTTGATGACGAATTATATAGAGATATTTTTATATAGAAAGACCACTTCCTTTCGACGATAAGTAGTCAAACAAAAATCTTATTAATAACTAACTCACTTTTTTTGTACTAGTTATTTTAAGGATTATTTGCAGATTAAATCATGGGGCGACGAGATTATGATAAAGAGAGGGACGTTCTCAAAACATTTCTTCTGGAGTTTTGTACTCAAAACAGTGATGGAGTGAAGAACTTCAAGTATTCAAATCAGCTCACATTGCTGGCTCATCGGGAGCAAATAGCTCTACAAGTGGAGTTGGACGATCTACACACCTTTGATGAAGAGTTAGCTAACGAAATTATTGACAACACCCGAAGATATACCACTTTGTTATCGGACATTGTTTTTGAACTGTTGCCCACTTTTGTGGAAAGAGATGTAGTGGCCAAAGATGCCTTGGATGTTTATATCGAGCATAGGTATGCGGTCTAGATTTGATTAGATTAATGACAATGTGAAACTTGGTTTTTGAATGCGTTAGGCAAATGATGGAGCAAAGAACCAGACGCCCCAATGTGGTTAGGGAGGCCAGAAATCAATTTCCTCCGGAACTAATGAAGCGATTTGAAATCTACTTTAAGGACTTATCAACTCGGAAAAATCAACCTATTCGGGAAGTAAAGGCGGACCAATTGGGACGACTTGTAACAGTTAGAGGTACTTCCGATCCCAAGCATATGCCAGGTACTTTTTGAAAAGGTATTCAAACTATTTCATTTTAGGTATTGTCACCCGATGCACAGAGGTAAAACCCATAATGTCTGTAGCAACTTACACATGCGACCAATGTGGGGCGGAAACTTACCAACCTATCGCAAGTTTAAGCTTCATGCCAGAAACGCTCTGTCCAAGTGATGATTGCAAAGTGAACAAATCGGGGGGTCGCTTGTACTTGCAGACCAGAGGATCTAAATTTGTCAAGGTAGTAATTATTGAACATTATGCAAACTTTATAAGGAAGTAAAATATCTCTTGAGCCCCATATTCTTATTCTCAACATTTACTTTGAATATTTTGGAAATTCTCGAAAATGTATAAAAAGGCAGGATATTAATTTTCGATGTAATAATATTAACTTATATAAGTGTATAAACCATTATTGCAACCTGAAGCCAAAATATACAGAACAGACTAGTTTACTGAATAGAACAGGTTCGTTTATTTGTAAACGTATCGATTTTCGATGTGTTCTTATTATTGTCATTTTTACTGTCCTGCCTATGCATATATGTAAATACTGTCCCAAATCTACCCTCTGAGTCACACAATCTTTATTATAGATGAAAAAAGTATAAATCTTAAAGCTTTTGTCTTCTCTTAAAGATGTATCTTTTGCTTGCAAGGTTCTCTTAACAACAAACAAGTTTCAAAGTTTATGTAAACCTGTTATATTGCTTTGATGAAAAAAGTTTAACTGGTTATTGAAATTAGTTCCAAGAACTAAAAATTCAAGAACACAGCGACCAAGTTCCAGTGGGGCATATTCCTAGGACACTAACGGTTTTCTGCAGAGGAGAGGTGACTAGGCAAGCCGCTCCAGGCGATCATATTGCAGTTACCGGAATATTCTTGCCACTCGTAAGACAAGGATTTAGACAAGTAAGAATACCGATTTTTTTATTTGAAAAAGTTAAAAAGGTTCAAGTGTGAGGCATGTTTCGGTTCTTTCTTCATAGCTACTGGAGATTTTTAAAACTTGTTTTGAGAGTCTACAGAATGAAGAGAATCAATCATCTTTTGAGAATCAAGTAGTTGTGAGAATATGCAAGATGATTGTTTTTTTTTAAATAGCGCCCTATTTTCGCCGCACCAACTTTAATTCAGTGAGCTAAACGTCATTTCATCACACAAAATTTTATGACTTCATATGAGCAGCGGTTTTTGAGTAAAGCATTATAAAAGTTACTAATACTTTTTTGTAAAACCCTTCGTACATGAAACACTCTGTTTAGACAGGAAGAGTAACAAGAAAATATTATTTTCTTCGCGAAAGAAAAGCTGAAGCTGAACTTAAATCGCTTGATTTACATAAAAACATAAATATTAGTTTGATAGTAAATTGTGTACCAAACTAAAGTGATCAATTGAAACCGCATGATCTCTTCTGTTTTAGTGTAAAAAGTAATTTCCTAGATTTCGTTTGCAATTAAGATTATTTTACTGAGTAAGCTGTTTTCTATGCTTCAGATAACGGCGGGATTACTATCAGAGACCTACCTGGACGCCCACAGAGTATTTTCGCTGAACAAATCCGCGGAAGATGAACTCGAATCAAATCAACTAACACCTGAACAACTAGCAACGCTGACTGAAGATGATTTTTATAGTAAATTGGCTTTGTCCATAGCACCGGAAATTTATGGCCATGAAGATGTGAAGAAAGCTCTACTTTTGCTTCTGGTTGGTGGAGTCGATAAGCGGCCTGATGGTGAGGGCAGAAAAAATAGTACCAAAAAATCAGTAGTTTGAAAACCATTCTTTTCAAGGTATGAAAATTCGTGGCAATATCAACATATGCTTAATGGGAGATCCAGGAGTTGCAAAGTCCCAGTTACTAGGATTTATTGATCGATTGGCTCTAAGAAGCCAATATACCACTGGCAAGTAATTTTCGAAGTAAATTGTTGAATACTGAAGCGTCCCAGACGTTCAACTAGTGTTTGGAAAATTGTACGAGGATTATGAGAATATTCTAAAATTTCAGGAAGAGGATCATCAGGAGTGGGTCTAACAGCTGCAGTAATGAAGGATCCGTTCACTGGAGAAATGATGTTAGAGGGTCCGTCCTTGGTTTTAGGGATAATAAAACTTGACTAAAAGCTGATATATTACAGGTGGAGCTCTTGTATTAGCTGATCAGGGAGTCTGCTGCATCGATGAATTTGATAAGATGGCAGATGGTGATCGTACAGCAATCCATGAAGTGATGGAGCAACAAACAATCAGTATCGCAAAAGCCGGTTAGCTGAACGAATGCTAATTTATCCTGCTAGCCAACCAACTGTCCATTTATTTGCAGGTATTTTGACCTGCCTAAATGCGCGAGTGTCCATACTTGCTGCTGCCAATCCTGCATATGGGCGTTACAACCCAAAGAGGACTATCGAACAAAACATCCAGCTGCCAGCGGCACTTCTATCTCGTTTCGACCTGTTGTGGTTGATTCAGGACAAAGCTGATCGGGACAATGATTTAAGACTGGCCAAACACATTACGTTTGTTCATCAAAACTGCAAACAACCACCAGGTCCTAGCGAGGCCCTGAATATGTCTGTTATGAGGAAATACATCGCATTATGCAAACTGAAGGAACCAGTTATTCCCGAGGATCTGACTGAATTCATTGTGGAAGCTTATGTGGAGTTGAGGAAGGAAGCTAGAAATTCCAAGGACATGACATTTACTTCTGCAAGAAATCTACTGGGGATTCTGCGGTTGTCCACAGCACTGTCAAGATTAAGGCATGTTTAGAGATTCTTTCACTGAAGATTTTTTAATTTCTGCATTGTTCATAGGTTGTCCAATGTAGTTGAAAAAGCTGATGTAAACGAAGCTATTCGTCTCATGGAAATGAGCAAGGATTCCTTAAATCAAACGTTCGAAAACAAAGGATACAGACCTCCGAATGTAAACGATAAAATATTCGCCATTATCAGAGAATTAGCTGGCAGCGAGAAAACCGTAAAAGTTTCAGACGTTCTGGAGAAATGTGCGTCGAAGGGTTACAATCCAGATCAAGTCGATGGTTGTATTGAGGAATATGAGGAGCTTAATGTATGGCAGGTCAACCAGACCAGATCCAAACTTACTTTTATTTAAGTGCTACTATTTACTGTATTTTAGTGTGTGTTTTGTAACAATTTTTCAATAAAAATTCAGGAAATCTGGTAAATTTTTTACCCATAACATATTTAGCGCACATTCACTTTACGACGGTAGCGAGAAGACAAAAGATTCAAAACATTACAACATATAGTAAGTAAAACAACATTTTATTAGAAAAAGTTTTAGGTATTTTAAAAGCCGATAGATTATTATTAGTGTACGAATAACCGTAAGTTGCATTTAATATTCAGAGAGGCTGAATACAGTTTTACATTTTTTTCGTTTGCAGACTACTATAAGTACGTTTAGCGTAATTAGTAACAGAACGGTTTTTAGCACAATGATTTTAAATAAATATATGCAGGATGTTTCAAAAGATCTTATTGCTTTTAACGTTCAAGTTATGGTAATGGCTGACAAAGCGGATGAACCGAAAATTTGAGTAGCTTTTGTAGAATAAGCCCTTTAATAACTCAGTATCATTAATTATTTTATTTAAACGATTTCCCGTTTGAAACACCCTGAACAATTTTATAAATAGTCAAATCAATATAAATGACTCATTTTCCCTGAAGGTCCTACCTTACAATATTTATAATTTAGAAAGCACAGCACATGAATTAGAAACAGTAATTTTATTTATTGTTTATTACTGTTACAATTATATTGATATATACAATGTGTCAATATATCAAGATAAGCCGTATCAGATGAACCTTCGGTTAAAAACAAGATCTGCAACAAATTGTTGATACAACCATGAACAATCAATAAAACCGAGAGTGAAATCCTGGATTTTGAATTTAAAAGCAGGAAAATATTTCCCAATATACAAACAAATTCAAAATATTCATAAACTGAAACATTGGGGCATTTATAGAAAAACATTAATTTTCTGTTTGTCAGAACCTTATTATTCGAAAAGATTAGTTAATCTTGAATACACCGTATAAGTAAAAAAAAGATAAATATTTCTGTTCCATAATTATATACAGTGTACTTTCTCCATATAAAGCAAAAACAAATTATGTAATATAAAAAACGTTTATGCAAACTATACTTACATGTGATCACATTTTGAGAGATATCCGCAAAAATGCAACCTGAAAAAGCTGCACGGATTGTGAACTTCTGGATTAGGTTGCTATAATAGGTATTTTAGTACTTAAATGGAAGGAAATATAAAAATAAATTAACTTTAAAATAATAATCTAAAATGTTTTTCTATGTATAGCACGTTGTCCTTCTTCATCAAACTCCCTTTTGGAAATCCACATTTTCTTGAAGGTATCTAACGAGGCCAAAATTGATCCTCCTATCCATGTAGAGTACAACCTCTCTTGAGGCGCTGATATCTAATAATAATAAAGAAGAAAAACATCATTTAAATATGGTTGTAGATTACTTTTGACTAGCGTATCTTACTTTGATTTGCGTTTCCTTCGGTGATAATCTCTTGATTTCTGAAAGCAATCTGTCACCAAATCCTTTGAAAAGGGTGGAACCACCCGATAAAACAATATTTTTAAAAAGTACTTTTCTCAAATCAAGATCAGATTTTTCAATTGAATAAACAAGCACTTCATGCAGTCCTTCACACTCTTCCCCTGCAAAATATGGTTTGATTTTAGTATCTACACGTAATTAGTTGTATGTAGGTACGTACCTATCAAATCGGGTTTAAATAAGATTTCGGGTGCCCTAAACCTAGAATGTCCAACTTTTATCACGCTACCATCTGGTAGCGTATAGTTTATTGATTCTGATTCTCCAGATTCTTCTTTCACTGGATTGTTTGATAAATAACATGCTTTTTCTTTTAAAGTTCTTACAGATTCGAATTCTGCAGTTGTCCGGAAAATTATTCCTTCTTTCCGCAAAAGCAATCTGTAAAAAGGTTAATAAATGCTTCAAATTTCCTCCCCATTTTCATTTTGCCTCAAATTTTGAAGCTTTGAGAATTTAGTAAAGAAAAAAATTTGATACAAACACCGAAAACAGACAGGATTTACAGAAAACTTTAAAAGTGTGATAGGGCGACTGTTGTGTAATAATGTATTTTCAAGCAATATTTAATGTTGATTAAAGCTGAAGTAAATAACTAATTGAACTATATACTTGAAGAAAAAGTAAAAAAAAACTGACTTTTAATTGCCAATAATAACATTAGAATTTTAGCGGGTATTTCAGCTTGCAGTAGCACCATTATTTATTTTTTTATACTACTTTTTATCAATGCATATTAACTTTGATTATAAAAAACGATTGCTTTTAAGAAAAGTGCTTTTACACACTATACATTGCATTTTACGCATTCCATCTAGTTTTACAAGAGACTTTAAATTAAGAAATCTTCTAAACAGAAAAATGTGTTTCCTGAATTATCATTCACTTTTGAACAAAATTAATATTCTTTCAGCCGACATACAAGCGATTTCCAGAAAACAGTCACCCCCACAGACTTGCATCTTTGAAGACGTGAACCACGTAAGTAAAAAGTTCATTCGAATCAATCAAACACTGCTTACCGTAAGTATCTCGACACGTCTCTACCTGCAATATCAGCACGCATTATACTATGAGGTAAAGCAAATCCTTCATAAATAGGCACAGAATGTGTAACTCCATCTCCTGAATCTAAAACTACCCCTGTAGTTCTTCCAGTTGAATATCTGCATAGAGCAACACGTTACACCTTTGAATGTCTTCAAAAAAAGCATAGTACTTACAAGCTAAGTACAGCTTGCATGGAAATAAACAAGGCAGGCACATTGAAAGTTTCAAACATAATTTCTGCAGCTTTTTCCCTATTCGGCCTTGGGTTTAACGGTGCTTCAGTCAGCAATACAGGATGTTCCTCTGCGAATGTGTTGAGTTGATCTTTACTAAAATCATCAACACCTAAATTCATAGGGATGAAACGATTGATTTAGGGACGATCCACATACCTGTAAATGTACGTCCAAATTTTCTCCATATCGTTCCAATTAGTGACTATCCCATGTTCCATGGGATATTTAATAGACAGTAAGCCCCTGTGCTCTTCTGCCTTGGGTCCTATAAAAATATCTCCTTCCAGGGCTCCTGCCATAACCCGAATATGTTTTGGCCGGCCAACACTGAAATATTAACATGGTATTCTGATCGAGCTTTATTAGTTGCCACTCACTAATTGGGAAATCTGCATTTGGGTATCTGATCACCAGCAAAACCAGCCTTAATAACGCCTGTGCCCTAAGAAAAACAACCGATGTTGTCACCAAAGAACTTGGGTAATTCATTGATAGTTTAGTTTGGTAGAAGAGCTACTTACGTTATCAATTACCACCGGTTGATTAACGATAACATCGTATGCTTCCATTATGTACAAGTAAATAATTATCAAACACACCTTTGCTCAAAAGGATTTTCGGTCTTGTCAAAAGCAGGAGAATGTCTCGTTGATAGATGACTCACCTTGAAAAGTCAGTTTCCCACTGTGGGAAACACTTATTTATAAAAAAGGGTATGCAAAGTCCGTAATTATTTAATCCCTATTGTTGTTAGCGGATAATTTTGGGCGATTTTCGCAGTTGGTTCAGCTTCGTGCAACTTGCCAACTTCTTAATAACTTTTACGCAATCAAATCATGGACCCGGATAATTAATTTTCTGATACAAGTTTGTTACACTGACTTTCAAAAGTGAGGTTAACTAAACGACTAATGTATTTGTGGTTATGTACATTCGTTGATTTTTAAACACATTCTAGCATTTTGATAGTTTTATAATACTGTTTATTTATATTCAGGTCAACTATCATTTTAAAAGTGTTTTGATCATTTTGGCTCAGGCTGCTGATAAATAAGAGCGATTAATGATGAGAGCACAAGGAGAATTTAAATTAAAATCACCGCCTGACGACGCTATTTCTAGCGTAAAATTCGGGCCCAACGCTAATCAGTTTCTGCTGGTTTCTTCCTGGGATGGATACGTGAGATTGTACGATGTTACTGCCAATACCTTAATACATAAATATGCTCATGATAACGCCGTGTTGGACTGCTGTTTTACTGTGAGTGTTAATAGTTTTTTATAAATTAATCTATTTATTAAACAACTCGCTGCTATTACCATTTCCAAGCTTTTAAACTAAATTTAAATGCATTTGTAGTTTTTTATTTCAAATGCATTCCCATGTTTTATGTCAACTTTTCTATGAGACGCAATGCAACTTATTAAAACAACTAAATCTTTTTCAGGATGCTATCCATTCATATTCAGGAGGTTTGGACAACACATTGAAGTCGTTTGATTTCAATACCACAACTGAAAGCATAGTAGGCACCCATACTGGACAAATAAAGTGTGTTGAACATTGCAATCAACTCAACTGTGTATTAACAGGTAACAATCCTTCAGTTGTACCTTAAAATGAGCCTAAAACTAGTTAATTATTTCAGGTGGTTGGGATCATCATGTAAAAATTTGGGACCCCAGAATGTCTGGTCCAAGTGGAAGTTATAACCAGAGTGATAAAGTATATTCCATGAATACATGTGGAGAAAAATTGCTGGTTGCGACTGCTGGAAGAAAAGTATGCATTTTGGAATTTGAAACCGTCTGCTTCGGCCACACAAATTTATTTTCCAGAGGCTGCAGTCTTCCTTAAAATTAACTATGGCTTTTCTTTGTAGGTTTTAGTTTGGGATATCAGAAACATGTCATATGCACTGCAAAGAAGGGAGACCAGTTTGAAGTATCAAACCAGGGCCATTAGAGCTTTTCCGAATAGACAAGGCTTTGCTTTGAGTAGCATTGAAGGTATAACATGAACAGAAGTTATGTTAAAACGTACTTAGTTTTCCTTTAAATTTCTAAATTCGGCAAAAATTGAAAAAAAGTATCTGCAACAGTGATATGATTGATGATTTAACGGCTGAAATGTAACTTATTTTCAAACTCCTGTTGTTAGCACGAAACACTTAATATTTTTACAGGAAATCGATCCTGGTTATTTGGCCAGCATACTTAAATTAAAAAACGAAAGCAACATAAAAGTGGCTGTGGCACATCATCCAAAATTAATAGCTAATATAAGCTATACGAAAACGTAAGACAGAATTAAAGAATCTAACTAGAAAAAGCAGGTTTCATGATTTTTAGACAATTGTCATATTCAACTTGTATGTTTCAAATTGTTTATTAAGAAACTGAAATGATATCGAGTTTTAAATAAACAGATGAACAGAAATATTATGAACGATTTAGAATCATGAAATGTATTGCCGATTTAAAAAAAAAATTTTTTTGGCGGTAACTCGTACTTAATGTTATTTGTAACTCGTACTACCTGTTAAAATTTACTTTAAACACAGATCAAACTTATTTTAAAGCAATTTTTGATATTATCGAAAAACTACTTTACTCCTGAACAAAATTCATATTTTTTGAAAAACTTCGAATCAGTACAACTGGAAAATAAGTTACATCTGGTGCTTGCATTCAAGCTCCAGCAAGTGCTGCAAGTTCTTAAAGTAAATAATAAATTTCTTCCGTGTAAGGCGACTATTTAAATAGACGCGGTATATAATTATATGTGTATTTTAGGAAGGGTTGCAGTAGAATATTTGGATTCAAATCCTGACATTCAAAAGAAAAAATACGCCTTTAAGTGCCATCGAATTAAAGAAGATGGAATCGAAACAATTTATCCTGTTAACGCCATTAGGTAAGTTAATAATGTGCACATAATTCCTTGGCTCAACCTGGTGAATTTAGTTTTCATCCAATCCACAACACGTTTGCAACTGGAGGTTCTGACGGCTATATCAACATATGGGACGGTTTTAACAAGAAAAGACTATGCCAGTTTCATCAGTACCATACCTCAATTACCTCACTTAACTTTAGCCACAATGGTAAGTTCAATCCATGGATTTTCGTATATTTTATTAAATGTAGTTTAAAAGGACCAAAAAATTACCTCCTATAAAGTTATGAATTTCAATAGGTTGTAGTAATTAGTTTTAAAAGCTATTTTCCCACTTAAGCAATTTTATCTAAAGATTAATACTTCAGTACTAGTGAAAACTAAATTCTGTAACAAGTTACGAAATGCAACTCTACAAATTATCGAGCTGCAAAAGAACTGACTGGAAATTTTCTTAGAGGTGTCTTAAATCGGTTTGTTGACTAATTTGTTTGGAAAATAATTCTTCGAAAATAGGAAAGCTGCCTTGGACTGTATTATTATTAAATTATTTTTATTGCGAGTATCATAATCGCGCTTCAATACACGGTCAGTAAATATATTTTTGCACAAAAATATTCCCTAATCCAAAATGTACATCTTATTTGTGTAAAAAAATGTTTGCCGAGTTCTAGATGATTTATTCCAAAAATGCATCTGATTTTATGTATTATCTATTTCAATATTCAGAAAGTCTACTATTAACCCCCTTTCTTAAAAAACAATTTTTTGAAAATAGCGGCCTAATCGCTATCGAAATTTATTTAAGATTCACTGTTGTGAATGTCAAGAATGTTGATGTTTATAAGTTAAAAAAAATACTATTCCATAATAAGCAAAGTGATTATTACTCATTCTAATACAATTTCAGGTCGAGGTAAAAGGTCCAAATATTATGAATATTGAGTTCTAATTTTTTGATTACAGGTTCAGTATTGGCTATTAGCTGTTCATACTTTTTGGAAGAAGATAACCCACCCAATCCGTTACCTGATGATGCAATTTATATTAGATCCGTGACCGATCAAGAGACCAAACCTAAGTACAGTTCCAGTGCGCAATGATAATATTTTGTCAGGTGAGAAGTACGATTGGTTGTTCATGTGTGGTTAATAATATAGAATTAAATTTAAAGACTGTTTTAATTCTTCTCTTGGAATTATACACATATATAATAGTATTTTACCTTACTTATTTAAATCTAGTACAAATTAGCAACCATATACAGATGAGCAGACAACAACAGACAAATGATCGTTTTCAATGTTATTTTATCTTGTAAGTAGCAAATGTATTGTTCAATATTTCCGACTTGAGAATCCAAATATCCCATTGGACTAAAAAAAAGCCATTGATTAATTTATTATTTATGAAATGCTCATAGACAAAGCCATGTCGACCTAAAGTATCTTGTTGGGATTGGAAAAAAATAATATGTATGTATAGGTTCATAAATTGCAATAAAAACATTTTTTGCGAATTGAAAAAGGAGTTTCGCTCAGTGAATGTAACATTAAGTGCTCTTCAGAAAGTTTATTTCAATTTTTTTGAATTGTTTTGTCCCACCTGCTATTTAAGCTACTATGTAGGCGACTAGGTAAGCGATTTTTTTCAGGAAGTCCACGGAATTTTTACAAATATGGAATTTTCTGGAAACAGTTCTATTCTTAGTTATTGCAATAAATCAATTTGTATAATGCACTCAATCCAGCCATGAGTTGTTGATCAGGTATATAATGTATTTTTGCAAATATTTCTGAATTAAACAGTACGCAAATTCTGGATAATTCATAGAATTCACTCCTGTCTAAAGCATTGCCTTCAACTCGCCTAACCAAAGAGTATTTTGATAAATGTGTGAAACAAGGCCAAGTAATTTAACAGCCTTATACATATTTTTTCAGAGGCATTACATGCGTCAGCGTCACTGCAGCTTTGTATACACCCTCTAACATATCTACAATTAACAAATGTTTTATTTTCTGATATTTTAATTCCAGCCTTTACAGTACCTGCTTTCATAAAAAAATCCCCCGCAATGCGATGTTCTTACCAGCTCGGTATCAGTTGTTAAAGTGCCGCTGTCCAAAGCGCACGACCTCACAGTTATAGTCTCTTTATTATCGTCTGAAATTAATCATTTTACAAAAATTTTCAGAATCATCTCATGGAAACACTACTTACAAGGAAAAATTTATTTATTTAAGTGTTCAGGATGTTTCATAATGAAAATGTAAATATTTTAAGGCCGCGCTTAGAAAACAAATTTCTAAGCGTATCTGCAATAAACTTTTTTATTTGGACCTTCCCTGCGTAAATAATCGATCTTTGTTATAAGCTATTTTTTTGTTTGAATGCTTAGGCTGAAATCTTGAATTTTCGTATACATTAACAGCTAGCTGAAAGTTGTTTTATAGTGGTTTCCTTTTGGCCAGCTCATGTCTTTGAAGTAAATTAAGATATTTTTTTATTCTCTCTTCCGCTTTTTTATACCCTCAAAGCAGTAGATGTTAAATATGAGTTTTATACATTTTTCTTCATTCATGAGCAATTTTTTGGAAAAATTTTGCTGATTAATAATTTCCACGCGAAAGCCCGAAACGAGAAAGTTTTCAAAAAATTCAAGCAAGCCCTTAAAGTGTTGGGACCAGTGGCGGTAGGTGATTAATTTTTCGGAGGTATCGAATAATACATTCTCATCGTTATAAGCCTTAACTAATTTTTATTAAGTTTTAACACTTTTTCGGCGCCACTGTTGACCCAAACCTTGCGGTTAATCAAAACGCCGTATAGGACCCCAAAGAAATTCACAAATTTTTGTATTTTTCGACCGATTTTCTGGCCTGTTTCTCAAGGAATAAAGATTGTGTTTTTATATTAATCTGAATATGATCCACAACCAACCGGGTAATTCAAAATTAAATGAAAAACACGTTTTGTGATTGTGTTCCAGATAGATTAGAGGGTTCATTGATTAAATGACCTAGCGGGTGAACCGCCACTGATTCGCGCATCATTATGAAACACCTTGTATATACAAGTTTCGAATGCATTTGTTAAATTTATCGCATAATTGAACCGTGTATAATAGCAAACGTCCTTTAGAGAAGCAACTATATTGTTTGGTATTGAACCGAACCGCTAATATTACCAAATATTCCTGTGATTTTAATACAAGCTGTTGCGGGAAAAACACCATTTCGGCCCTTTCTGCCTCCCATGCAAGGAGTTTGGAGAATATCTGTCGTATAGTTATTATGGAAGGGATCTTCACATTTCGGGTTATTTTTATTTTCGGACATGCATTTGAAACAGTCTATGGCTCTACCTAAAATCAGATGTATTTAAAATCACTCTACCAAAATACGCGTTTTAACGTTTTGGAAACAGCAAATAAATGTATATTTTCGAAACCAGTTGCGGTATTTAGTGCGCAGTGTGAGCTTTGAATTGTGCATATGTTTTCGTGCAAGCGTATTTTTTAGCTGTTGCAATAATACAAAAAATAATTGATAGTGTACATACGTTTTTGTGAATTAGAAAATAATTTAATTTAAAAGATATGATATTGAAAACCTTGAAGTCTATTATTCCGTAAATGCAGTAGGTATTGATGAAGAGAAAGGATTTATTTTGTATGTCATTATTATATTTTTGTATTTCTTTTCATTCGATGCAACAATCTGTTAAGCTGTTTTACAGCAGATAAATATCTGCTGTAAAAATATCAGTATTGATCAGAAACAGATAAAACAGCTAGCTATCCGGTTTATCTTTTGTCTGATACATAAACAGCCCTCAAATGAAAGTATAATGAGCTAAAGTCTTTCGATATATTTAACATTGGGATTCAGCAATGATACTTTGAGTAATGTAAAAATGGAACAAATAACAAACAAAAACCGTTTGAAAAAATGTGCACAGATTAATAAACAGTATACCTACTTACTAGATTTAAAGTAATTGAGCAAAACTATCAGCATTGTGCAAAATATGTCAACCTTTTTCATTGCTACACACTCTAATTAGCACCTATACAACAGTCCTACAGGAATATTGATTCATCCTTGAAAATAATCAATATTCAAACACTACGAGGGATGAATTATAGTAATATTTTTATGTGTACTGTGTATTAAAGCTTTAAATAAGAAGATATTTATAGGAGAAAGTAAGTTTTCTTTTAATATTTAATATTAATTCATCTGAATTTTTTTTTTGAAGTAGTCGATGCAAACTGGGCGCTTGTCCCCCATGACTATGGTGTACCTACTGTCGAATTTTCAAATTTCTCCTAATTAGTTTGCCATATATCGATCGCGATGGTTCCTGGTTGGACACCCTGTATAGGTAATGAATATCTAAGATGTGAGAGGAAAACGGAATTGTAGATGCTGTACTTTTCTATTGGAAAGGTAATTTCTACACCTGTATATAATTGAATATATGAAATATAGTCAACGTCCTGTCTCCAATTTAGTTTACTGCTGAGGCACAAATATTTTGTGCATTGCATTTCATTTATTACCACTTTTTAATTAAGCCGTTAAACTTAGTTCTTCATTTCGGTTTCAAAAAGGTTTAATTTAATTAAAAAAGTATTTAAATAATAAACGCTTTCTTAAAAGTGGTTAATTTTATTAACAATTAATTAACAAGAGAATTTTTTTCTTTAAAATAGTCCTTCTATGACTTTATAATACAGAGAGTTAAAAATATGAGCATTATAATGTGTACAAGCTGGTCGATTGCTGGCAAATTCAAGAAGCAAAATGAGCTTCAAAGACTGCTTTAATCGGCATTAATTAGTGTCTACCTTACTATAAAAATATCAAAGTGTTTTAAAAGTAATTTAATAAAAACCGGTTCATCCATCATCAGCTGCGCCTTTTAGAGGCATATATCTTGGTATTGAGGATTTGGAGAAATGTTTGTATAGGAAAGTCATATTTAATTGACATTTTTTAAGTTTAAAATTACACTTGCTTACAGACTGCTTCATTGCCTTAAAAGCTCTAAATTAATCATATAAATCATATAACTTCTCGATCCTAGTCAGAATCACACATGCCCATCTCTAATTGACCCTATCTTTTTTTGCGCAAATTTGCCAGATATTGAACAAAGACACCGAATAAATGCAAATAGAGCGCACGTGAAACAAATGACATCCACCCCCCTTAACTCTACCGGTTTCCCGCAATTTCCAAATAAGTTCTAACGGCTAAAATAGTCAAGTGAATCAAAGGCACCTTCAATGTGGAAACATCGTGTGCATTTGTCTGCTGTTCAATTCTAGTTTTATTTGCGATTTGAGTTATTGGCCAAATTTTAGTGTACGTGAATCCAGATCATCAGTAGGTGAGTATTAGTACTTAGGGGATTTAGGAGAATTGTTTTTGCTGGTCCAAACCTTATAAGTGTCGAACTATTTAAGATGTTTAGCACAATGTGCTAACTGTTTTATTGCGTAGCTGAGCGCTATACGTTCTTTCCAGATAAGGTAGCTTTCCACACAAAGAGCGCTATTAATTGCGGTTAAGGAAACTGACTGGGATAATTACCTGCAAATTCATGGGCTATTGCCTATTCTGCTTGTTCACTGGGCGTTATAGTTCATTGAACTCCACTTCACTCCACACATTTGCTTTAATTCTGCACACTGGATTTCCACCGATAGTCCATTAATTCCAATTCCGATTAGTTTTTTATATAAGCGCGAAAAATGCCCTTTTTCGCACTACCACGTAGTTCCTCCTCTGTTAGGAGTTCGAAAAAGGATTTTCATCCTCATACATAACATTGTTTTTTATTCCAATGTAAGATATAACACGAATAATAGCACCAATTTCCTATTTTACGCTTTATATCAATGCCATTTTTCACATTATGCCACTGCTAAGTCACGTTTTGACGTAGATTGCCTTGACGTTTTTCAAAAGCGTAGTTTTTTCTGAAATAACACATTTCCCAGGTAATAACGATCATTAATTATTAGTTAAACTTCTAGAAGCGAAAATTATTAGACAATGTCCAGAAAATCAGTAGGACAAAAACAAAAGACTTGCGCCCATACGCAAAAAGTAAGATCAAATTAAAACTGCTTCTTTTCGATCACGACTTCTGCGTAAAACCTAATTTTTTTATCATTGGAATAACAAATTGATTTTTTATCACAACACATCCCCAAAGGATTTTCAATGGGGTTTAGATCTGGGGATTGAGCGGGCCACTCTAAAACTCAAACATTATTTTCCACAAACCGCTGTCCAACAATTTGTGAAGGGTGTTTTGGATCATTGTCCTATTGGAAAATCGGTCCACCTGCCCACTCCAATCCATGAGAAACAACCCCAAAAAAAAACACTGCATTTCCCATGTTTAATAGTAGGTTTTACATATTTGTGCAAATGGTACTTTTTCCAGTCGCTGACTGTCCAGTTAAATTGCGCCGTGCAAGTGCCAATCTTGCTGCTCTATTTCTTCTCTAAATTATGTTTTTTTAGCTGACCGTCTGCTAAACAGCTTTGCTTCGACAAATCTTCTATGAACTGTTTGTATACCAACTGTAGTTTCTGGAATTTCGGCAATAATTGTTGGTGCAGGCTTGCAAGGATCATTTTGGACAATTTTAATGCGTCTATTCGGTCAGTGCCGTGTTTTTTTGGCCTTCCCTATTTGGATAACTTGTCTAAATGTCTCTTATTATAGAATGCAATGATTTTAGATTCACTGTATCGAGCAACACAAACGGGGTCTTGAAACATCTGCTTGTTTAGCACTTTCAATGAATAAATTTTCAACTCTTTCCTTCAGGCTTTTTGAAATGTAAATTCCTTTTGCCACAAGGAATTTAGCATATACAGGGCGTCCCGTAACCACATAGTACAAGGGTACTGCGATTTTCTTTGGATCAAAAGGAGACGACCTGACATAACATAACATAATAACAAAAAATGTCTGGCTCTTTGTTATTCATGGTCAAAGTTCTTCAAAATATTTATCTTTTTTGAAATATCGGGAGAATCGTACGATGTATTTTTGTGAAACTCGCTGTTAATTTTTTCTTATATAAGACTCATATTTTGATAAAACAATCGAGTTCAGCCGTTTCGGGCAAGTGGTGAATGCATGAGTGTCGTCAAGCAAATGCTATCAGAATTTTTTATTCGGTGGATGGAATCAACTCATTTTTGTTTCGGGTGATCGTTTAATCACAATTTTGTGCTCTTTGTAAAATCTTGTAGCATTCATAGTTTTTGCGTAAAGAAATTTGTCTGTTTTCTTGCCACTTAACAATGTTAGACATTAATTGCACATATGCGCCGCATAAACGCGTACGCTTTCATTTCTTTAGAAATCTGTACTTCTTCATTAGAAAAGATCATTCGAAACATTTTTGCAGTTAATGTCTAACATTGTTAAGTGGTAAAAAAACAGCAAAAAAAGTTGTGCGCGAACACTATAAATGCTACAAGATTTTACAAAGAGCACAAAATTATGAATAAATGATTAGTGCATCAACAAAAAGAAATGAGTTGATTTCCGCCCCCAAATAAAAAGTTCTGGTAGTTTTTGTACCAGAACCCTGAAGAATTCACCACTTGTCCAAAACGGCTGAACTCGATTGTTTTATCAAAATATGAGTCTTACATAAGAACAAAGTTACAGCAAGTTTCACCAAAATACATCGTATCATTCTCCCGATATTTCAAAAAAGATAATTTTTTTGAAGAACTTTGAAGATCAATAGCAGAGGAGCCAGGCATTTTTTGTTCGCAGTATCCTTTTGATCATGTGCTTACGGGACACCCTGTATATTGCTATATTCAAAAAAATATGAAACAAACCTCGCACTATTATTGTCTTCTTTTCCTCTTGAAAACCGGCTTTTCGAACAAATTATTGAAAAGTTGTTTCATTTTTCACCCTTTACTATTTAACAAATAAAAGCAAATTACAAAATTTAATAACAATTGGTCTACTTGTTTGAATGAAAACATTAAATTAAATTAAATTGACAATATTTCGAAAACTAGACACTTTTGGAATAGACAACTATTATGATGTCTGAAGCTATATAGCAGTATATACTGCTGCTCTATCTGATGTAAATAGCATTCAGAGTTGAGCTAAATGTAAGGCAATTTGTGAGTGAAAACAAGAATGTGGTTTTATCAGGCTCCGAAAAGAGTAGCTCTATCTCGTAGGAAAGTTCACATTTTTTCGAGATGTCGTTTAAAAATCCTATGAAACCCTTACATAAGTTCATGTTGAATTTCTTATCAATCCTTTTAAACATTTTATTACACATTGTAGATCTTGTGATCGTAACTTCGATAAATTCATTCAATCCTTATGACATTATTTTAGTAAAACATCTTTTTGTGTTGGGTTGCTTTTCTAAGAAGTTGCAATATTCTATAAGAAACACTTTTAAGGGAAACCTTTACAGGGGCTACCTATTCGTAATATTTCAACTTGATTTACTTGCTTTAACTTGCAGGAAATACTTTTTGGCCGGGCGACTCATAGTCAACTCATAACAAAGTTTAGTTATTATAATGTGATAGTAATGATCAGATGATGATAGTTATAACTATMATTTTATAAAATTAGTTAATAAGTATAGATAACAAAAATATWTRCACGAATTCGTGTTGAATGTTAATGTTTATTAATTTATTTTTATTGCATTTCTGAAAATAMTTGCTACACAACTATATACCGTTATATTGRTCGTATYATCTATGATTTTAGGGCTTTTGCGCAATAAAAACGGATTTGTCCAAATTTACTTTKAATTTATCGCCTATATTATTATCTTATTTAATTTTTCGGTTCAAACTTTAAAGACATAATTAACATCTCATTRTTAAAGGTWATTACAAGAAAAACGTGCTTAACRWTTTAAAAGTTTTCGTTTAAAAAAATGTTTAGTTTGTTCAGAGTTTGTTGTTAATTGTACCTAAATAGCACTCTTAAATATATTTGATTCTAAAAAAGCGCAGATATTTAAATTTTAAATTTAAAAACTGTTGGATCCACTGCCTCTTCTTCTTTCTATTTTTTTTACTAGACAATGTTGGCATTTATCAGCTAAAGGAAAAAGCAAGGCTAGGTTACTGTTATTTATATATAGATGTATTTGCACAAAAATAATTGATTAGCAGTTTATTCATAATTTATTGAATGTTCGTTCACATCTCGTTCAACTATAATTATTACAACGATTAGAATGAGTGCTAGGAGAAATGTAGGAGCCAGTTGGCGGAATTCTGGGGCCCCAAAGCTGCAAAAACAAAGAAAGGAACATGTCAGGTAGTTTTTTTTATATTAATTTCAAAGAATGTTTAAACATGTTGTGAATGTTGGGAAGTTAATTGATCTTTCAACCAGATTTGGTGTGAACAAGGGTAGTGCAAGCAGGAATAAACTGGTAATTGATGAACATATCCAAGAAGCCACTCCAGAATGTTTAAGAATTGAGATTGATAAGATATTCAACGAGTTCTTGGCAGATCCTGATAAGACTGAATACATTTTTCCGTCTGAATATAATAATTTGCAAAGAAAATATGTGCATTATAAGGTAATGGGGCAACGCAGGCAATAGGCAATTTATCCAGATCGTTCAAACATCCTAAGTCGAGTGAACCATAGTCTTTTGAGGGGAATATTTTCTCGTATGAAAAGATACGAACTAATCGCAATTTTCACCAAATATGTTTAGAGTTTGTGCTTGGATTTAAATCTATTATTATTTAGGAATGCAAGCCAGATATTAATTTATAATTGATTCCTCTATTGCTTAGGCCCAGATAATGAATCTGGTCTCAAGATCTCATGGCAAAGAGCCCAATAGGCAGCTGCATTTGCTCAAAAAACCGAAACAGTTAGCGAGCCAGTCAGTTCAGGTGCAAATCTGTAATGAAGTCTATGAAGAACTGCAGGAGTTCGATAAGAAGTTTAGTAAGTTAAACGGTTAAATTGCTTCTGTATGACAAATGCGTCTTTTTTAACTAATTTTCTATCTGCAAAAATTGCATCATTGTTATTACTCCATTTTGAATCTTTAAGGTAAAATTCAAACAGAGCCTCAGACTTACAGGGCAATTAAACGATTTGAAAAAGTGTATGGTAAAATACAGGACGGCGAACCTGTGGTTCCACAGAGAGCTAATAATGTGCATCAGGGTATTGAGACTGTTCGGCATAGTCTTCCGATCTTTGAGAAACGAAACCTTGTAATGGATTGCATTAATTTGAATCAGGTTTGTCAGTTTCACAACAAAGAAATCGGGGTTTTGATTGACATGGTTTTATTTAAGGTCACAATTATTTCCTCTGAAACTGGTTCTGGAAAAACAACTCAAATCCCTCAATACATTTTGGAGGACGCTGTATCTAATAACCAACCTTGTAAGATAATATGCACTCAGCCTCGCAGAATTTCAACTATTGCTGCCGCTGATAGGGTTGCTTATGAAAGAGGCGAAACAGTTGGAGGCAGTGTTGGCTATCATATTAGGCTCGAATCGAAATGCGGTGAGAAACCTAACAAGTTGATTGTATATGAGTGTTTAATCATTGTCCTTTCAGGATACAATACCAACCTGTTATTTTGCACCATTGGTGTGTTCTTGAGAAACTTAATGTGTGGCAACAAGTGCTTGAAAAACCTAACTCATGTGATAGTAGATGAAATTCACGAAAGAGATAAATTGAGCGATTTCTTGCTAATTTGCCTTAAACAAAATTTGAACCAGTTTCCCCATTTAAAGGTAATATACATGAACAGGAGTTTACAAATGATGAGGAAATATTTTAGAGGGTGCTTTTTTGGGACATTTTATAAAAAAAGAGTTCCTATAAACTCAGGTGCGAGCGTGTATCATTTTAAAGTTACAGGGTGTTCGAATTATTTTAATCGAAATTTGGTAACGTTTTTTGTGGATTATGGGGTCTCTAAGCAGATTGAGATTATTAAGTCAAGAGCGGTCACTTTAAAGAAATGTACGGATATTTGCCAAGCGCTTTAATGTAATATCAATAACTTTTGGAGGGAATGAATCTAAAAGTGCAACTTTTTAGCCTTTTGAAATTTCCTGGTATCTTAATTCCTTTTCCATTTAAAGAATACAATCCACTTTTTGCATGTCCATTCATCATGTCTAAGTGTCCAATTCTGCCGAAAAAAGCTACTGAAAGTGACATTCTTTTAGCGTGAGATGCAATAATACATTATTTTAAAAAAAATTCCCAAGAAAATTTTGCTAATTATTTTTAATGGACCGTAATTAAAAAAATAATCACCCAATATCCTGGAAATGATACTTTTTTGGATCTTTGTTTATAGGAACTTTATTACATGAATTAACCTGAGAAATCACCTACATAAGTATTGCCGCGTTTATTTAAATACTGTATAATATTGCTTCTATCTAACATTTCTGAATATTATATTTTAGGTCATTCTTATGTCAGCCACAGTGAACACCGTTAAATTTCAAGAATACTTTAATTCAAGCGCTGTACTTTCAATTGCTGGTCGTTTGCACGATATTCAAACATATTTTCTAGAAGATATCTTAAGTATGACCAAGTATTTTACACCTCAGATGCGTAGTGCGATGGTCAAATTAGCAAACAAGAAATCGAACTCACACAGTTTTACACAACAGAAAAACGTACGATTTTCAGAACAAGATCAGACCAACTTTAACTTGACCTTAGATGCTTATAGGAATTTCAGGTATTTATATTAAATTGATGTCAATAGTAAGTACTTTTTATTTCAACTACCTTGATTTGGTTGGTAAGTACTCATGTTAGGATCGATGTAATTATATTTTGGCGCTTTTCTGTGTTTTAAATTGAATTAAAAGTTTTTTCTTTGCAAAACAATAAATTGATATATGCAGATGCTACGATCTAGTTTCAGCTGATGATTATACTGTTAATTATAGTTTTTTATCCTAATAACCCGTTTTTGAGTGACGAAACATTCTCGAATACTGGCCTTTCCACCCCAAAAAAAATCCCATATCGCAATAGGCTTCGACATTTGCAAAGTATAGTATTTTCAAGTATTTTTCGTTCATATATTTTTCAATTACTCTTTATTTCATAGCAGGTTTTGTATAATTTTTTTAATTTATTGAATTATGTGAATAGACTAAATGCTAATCCATGTAGAGATTTGATCCAAGAACAAAACAAATTCGTCATTTGTTATGTTGTGATCTATTTTTTTCTACCCGGGACTGTTTGGTTTTGAAGAATATTGCAGCCGTTTTTTTGGAGTTTAGAATCAGTTTATTTTCAAAGAACCATTTGCTTACTATCTCAGGGAACCTATTTTCTTCCGGGAAAAATCTTTTGTAATAAAAAATGTGGAATATTTTCTGGTTGTGTTTCAAAAACATATTCGGCGCTGAATGATCTGAAATCAAATTTTCAATTACACCAGCATCAACGAATTGTGAATTTGTGAAAATGTTATCAGCTTGCAGTGGTAATTTTTATGAAGCCATAAATTTGTTACTTTTTTAGTGACGACTATAATTACACCGTGCATTATGATGAAGCTACTGCTGATCTCCTTCAATTATTTATTTCTGAAGACGTTCCTGTTGATCAGCAGCACTCTTTAAAAGGTTGGACCGCTTTAATGATTGCGTGTCAGTTAGGAGATGTGGAGTTTGTCAGTAAATTGTGTACATTAGGTAATTAATGAAACATTAACTTTGTGATACATTTGGTTAAATGCTGTTAATAACAATCCAAAACCAGAGCAACAAATCACAAATCAAAAATACATTGTTGGTTTAAGTTTCACAATTTTGTCTTGTCATTAAACCATTGTGAAACAGTATATTTTATTATTTGGTGCATTTTAGGTGCAAGTACCGATATTGCAGATGCCATGGGAAGAACTGCGTTTGATTATGCAAAAGATTTAAATAAAAATGGCGTTTTGCAATTGTTGACCACAAGGCAGGCCGATAAGAAAACTAATGAGTGTAACACTGATGGTAATATTTTGGAATTTATGGCGCAAAACCAATTTTTTTGCCATTGTCAATCGATCGCTGTTATAAATAAGCTCGCTTTCTCTTATGTTTAGACTTGCAATTTTTGAGGCAGCTCTATGATATGACTACTCCTGATGATTTCATTGATTATGAGCTTATCGTTGCTCTAATCAAGTATATACATGCTAACTCCGACACAGGATCTATACTGGTTTTTTTGCCTGGTACGAATACAATAAATATTTCCTTCAGTCGTTAAATGTAAAAAATATTGCCTTTTGCACATTGTCTTTTATTTTCAGGGTATGACGAAATAATGCAGTGTAACGATTGCGTTATGGATTCTGAGCTTGCCGGGATATACAGGATTTTTTTCCTACACAGCAGCATGAACATGAAGGATCAATGTGATATTTTCAAGTCCCTGCCAAATCAGAGAAAGTTGATATTAAGCACGAACATCGCCGAAACCAGTATAACAGTTGAAGACGTCGTCTTTGTTATTGATGTTGGTAAAGCCAAAGAAAAAGTTTATGATTCGGTAAACATGATAATAAGTCAATTGGCAAAAGTTTTAATATACGTTTTTTTTCATTTTTAGTATAATAAACTGTCCACTCTACAAACTCAATGGATTTCACGTGCTTGTGCCAAACAGCGCCAAGGACGAGCGGGAAGAGTAAGAACTGGATTCTGTTTTAGACTATATTCAAATCAACGCTTTAGTCACATGCCAGAAGAAAGAGTTCCCGAGATTTTAAGGGTGTCGTTAGAAGTATGGCATCATTATTTAAAGCTTCTTTTCTCAAACTTACCAAAAATTTTATTTCCAGGAGCTGTGTCTAAATGCCAAGATTATTGCACCGAAGTCCATGAACATATACAACTTTCTCTGTTTAGCCCCAGATCCACCTTCAGTTAACTCAGTCGGTGTCGCTGTTGAACACTTGCAATCCCTAGGAGCTCTAGACAAAGAGGAAGATCTTACAAGGTAAATTTACAGCAGAATGGATTTTTTTACAATAACTTATTTCCGATGCCTTAGATTGGGAGAATATTTAGCTCAGCTTACACTCGAACCGAGGCTCGGAAAAATGCTGATATTTGGTTGCATTTTTAAATGTTTGGAGCCGATGCTGACACTATGTGCCGTTATGGCACACAAGTAAGATTTTAAACTTGCAAAGCTATTTTTATTTAAACAATTGCCGATTTTTAGAGACCCATTTCAACTACCCCCACAGGCAAACTTGAAAACTGTTGCCGCTGCGAAACGACGTGAGCTTATAGATGGTGTTCCAAGTGATCATTCAGTCTATTTATTGGTCTTTCACAAATGGCAGGTTAGTAAGTTTTAATCAATTTCTTTTTAGTTTTTTTAAATTTAGTTTAATATTTACATGAAGCTATCGGTAGATCGGAGATGAATTTCTCCAAAAATTATATTTATTGTGTATTTTTCCAAAATAAACTGATTTTATATTGGTAGAGCGAAGTCAGCAGAGGTCGTTCGAAACAATTCTGTTCTGAATATTTTATTTCCGAATCAACTATGTATTCTGTACTGGAGACCAGACGACAACTACTAGGTAAATTCACCTAATCTTAATTTAGAAACAACATTTACTACTTTATGCAAATTTTAGGCCAACTGAGAGCCGTTGGTTTTGTTAATGACACTCACTCAATAGATAATTTTAATGTGAACAGCAATTCATGGGGTTTAGTCAAAGCCATCATGAGTGCCGCATTTTTTCCCAACGTTGCTTATCCAATACAGAAAGGATGCAGTTTGGCCACCAGGTAATTTATTAGATTTTGAATATTTTACAGCTGAAATATATTTTTCCTTGCAGAAATGAGAAAAAAGTGTTCATACATAATACAAGTGTTTGCGCTTCAAAAACATATTGCGATTGGTTCTTTTTTAATGAAATGGTTAAAAATCGAATTAATTTTATGGTTCGCGGTGTCACAGCATGCACTTCATTCATGGTAACTAATCTAATAGTGTTTTAGGCAAAAGTTAAAGGAAATGTTATTTCCATTTTAGGTTGCTGTAATGTGTGGAGTTAGTTCCATTTACCCATCGTCCCACTCAGTTAATATAGATGATTGGCTGGAGTTTTATTTCGGCGATAATATAATTATCAAATTTCGGCAAGCCTTACATTCGTTTATAGAAAAATCCATCTTGAATCCAAGGCATTCCTACGAGAAAGACAATTTAGTAATTAGAAATAACATGAGAAAGCCAGTGCGATAGAGTAAAAGGTTATTTTATTTAATTAGATTTCTGGAACTTTGCGAAGAATAATGGACATGGACGAAGTTAATGCACAATTTGTACAGCCCAAAAATGTGGGACAGAGACCCAGGTTTTTATATAAAGTAGTACATGAAGCCAGTGGCCCAAATAGAAATGTAACATTCAATCGCAGCGATATGAGGCAGCGTTCAGCACCCGATAATTTTCAACGGCAGGATCTAAACGGTAAGCAAAACATTTCTAACTATTGGAAGTTAGCCTACAAAAGTTCAACTGTAGCTAAATCCATCGAGGACCATAAAAAAGGTCGTACTCCGAAGCGTTACATTCCACCTCATAAGAAAGATGTGGCAGTACCAAAATCAGCTGCTCAACATTTGAACTTTGATTCTTTTGGCTCAAGCACTAGTGTCTCTAATATAATACCGAGTATGCAAATTCTTAGCCTGAAATCTGGTAAGTAAAAAAATCAACTCCTTCAATTAAATATATATATATACATATATGTCCGGAAATACGGCTGCGTCGTCTCTCCCTAGTCTCCACACTCTTCTTTCGTGCCCCCCCCCCCAGATTGGTTCTTCTTTTTTAGTATTTCTGCATTGAGCTTTCTGTTTGGCGTTGGATATAACAAGCTTAAGGCTAACTACTTTATAATGAAATTGTTTATCATGCATAGTAGTAAATTTATATAAAAAGTATATTAATACATTCTTACTAATTATATGAGCTTATTAACTTTTAACTATTCACGTCAGGTACATCCAATTCAGCAGCTTCTTTATTGAATGGCTTAGGACCAGTAGCTGCTATAGATCGAGAAAATAGTCCCAGTGCTTCTAACTATCAAAATGGCAACGGATTTTCTAAATACAATTACGGTGGTTATCAGAGGCGTAACCACCAGTCAGGATATGCGAATTTGGACAGTTTTAATGGATCTTTCAATCCGGATAGAAATGGATATAATCAATATAGTTCTGGATATGGAGAACAACAAACGAACAGTAGAGGTAAGAATAACCGAAGAACTCGTCGAAAATAATCTATTTATGAAAATATTTAATCCACCGAGGAAGACGTGCGAATAGTTAGTTTGCTCGTAAAAAGTTAAGTATTAATTAACTATTGAATTGCTTCAACAGTTAATTGATAGTTCTGAACAGAGTCTTACGTGCAAATGTTCGACTGATTTATACTTAAGAACTAGTCTGTACGTTATGTTTCTGAATTGTCAAGAGGCATAATTGTGATATACCAGTATCTAGCAGATTTCCTCTCCGTTTTCAGCAAATAATTCACAAATCATTTGATAATTTATCATTGACTTTCATAGTGTTAGTTTCAGTTGCTCGCTTCAAATTTCTAAATGCCGCTTATTTTTACATTTTTGAAGAACCTGAAATACTTTCAATTAAGTTTTTTGCCGGTCCTATTGTGTTGGTAGTAAGGTAAAGTGTTTTATCATAAATAAAAAATTTAAATATTTTTTGTAATTTCTCTAATTTAGCTGTGATTGTCAATGATAAATAAATCTTTGCTCAAAATATCTTCATTTATTCAGGCTATTGTGTACTACTTGAACCCTTGCACGGTAAAATCATATCAGAAGTATTAGATATTATTACTATAACAGTTACCCACTGTTTCTCGAAAACATTCAAGAAGTTATAGACCTAAGTTTTGTTGTTGCTTACCTACATCAAGCCTGGGCCACTTTTCAAGCCTTTATTATTATTATTATTACCTACTTCAAATAATTGAATTAGCAACTATTTTGTCATGAAGCGAAATTACTTTAGATGATATAATTCATTCACAGCAACGATTCACAATTGTTATAAGGGAATCATAATCTGAAATATCCGTAAGCTGCGTTTGCGGTAATTTGTAGACAGGCTGTTTAGTAGCTTGTCTACAAACCTTGTGTTTCATTATGAGGAAAGATGCCTTTAAGGTGTACATTCTAAGATTTTTTCAGAACTGTGATGATTGTGAATTTGTTGTATTTATACTCGATGTAGGTAATACTAATAAAATTGAACAACTATATTTTTATTTCCGAAATGAGATTGATAAAACTGTGGATTGTGTTTGGACTACTTAGGTTTATGGTCTGAATGAGTGATAATCATTTTGTAATGTAGGAAATAAAAACCGTAAATTAAAGGAATGTGCTTTCTTACATCATTACCTCGATTACCACGTAAAATACGCACATGTTTTGCATTTGATTACCGGGTGACAATATTAAAATACTATATATGTTCTGTTTCAATTTTATTCAACACGTTATTAAGATGTCAAACCAAGGGCAAAAAATGTTGGCGTTACATGAGTTGAAAAAGTGTCCGATCGATATTGCGCGAACGCTCGGCATAGACAAATCTAACGTCCGACGAACCATCAAGAGGTTTGAAGAACCATCAAGAGGTTTGAAGAACTGGGCAATACTGGTCGCTGTCCAGAAGTGCTAGAAAGCGCAGAACCATTAAGAACCGGAGCTCGTTCCTCAAGCGAAATCCAAAGGTCTCCATGAGAAAAATCGCTCGTGAGAATGGTATCAATCGGAATCAAGCTGCCAAATAGCCAGAGGATCTTCATCTCAAGTCCTACAACCTCCAAAACGTTTAGCTCCTCACCGACGACAAGTGCGTACGGCTTGAAAGTCTCAAGCGACTCCTCCGTCGCCACGCTCCTCTTCAGTGAGACAAAATCCTCTTTACGGATTAGAAGCTGCTCACAAGCCCACAATCACCATAACGATCGGAGCTGGTCCCCGAGGGCCCATCAATATCGGAGGAGCGGAGGCTTGGGCTGGTTCTGTACCACCACACACACGCCACAAAACTTTAGAGTCGCTGAACACTTTGGATAAACACAATTATTCGTCTCTTGTTGGCCATAGTATTAAATAGGTTTTTACAACACATCGGTTTTATTCCTGTGCGAAATGATTGAATAATTATTATTAATGACTTTAAAAAAATGCGACAGACTTTCCCGATCGGTATCGTCTAAAACTACATCTGATATAAAGGTCTAACTGTTGACACAGCGAAGATTTACACCTTCATAAGTGGGACCCGCTTGAACCGAAGGAAATTGTCCCAAATGGTTTCTTTTCTTTCTTAACCACGGATATTAAACGCGAATGAACAGTTTAAGGTTTAATGGTCTTTCACATTTAATCAGATATAACACACAGCTTTTAACAAGTAAAAATATTTTCTTCTTTATATTTTTCTTGCATATGAAAAAGAAAGTTCTGTTTCGTTGTGAACGATATCAGATATCAGCTCTAATAATTGTGAAATTCTATTTAAGCTATAAACAGTTTGAAATTACAGTGTCCACTTTTAGGTATGTATGTATGAGCAGGTATGTGTGTTTATCTCTTGTAATGGTTTTTCTTGGGTTTTCTCTAATGATTTGGTTGGTAGTTGGTAGTTTAATTTTAGTTTGATAAGGTTTAAAATTGTACTGGTTCTTGTTAGGGTTGTTTTTGTCTTGGTTTATTTAATCGTTTGTGTAGATTCGTGTGTTTTATTTAGTAATGTTGCTTAGTGAAACATTTACATATTTAGAAACACTATTTGTGCAAGTGCTATCAATGTAACGGCAGAACTGCTGTGGTGCAGAGCGTTATTTTGTGGTCTTGGGCCACCGAGCTAAAGATATCAAGGAACAATTTAAAGACGAAAGGGCGGTCTCGTCTCGAGTGCTTGCAATTCAAAGAAACTTCAACTGAAAATTTATAACAAAAATATATTGAGCCACTTGTGCCACGAACCAGAAACCCAAGAAAGAAAATGACACAAACAGGGTCAAAACAAGTAAATAATTCAG